AAAAGAAAAGAAAAGAAAAGAAAAGAAAAGAAAAGAAAAGAAAAGAAAAGAAAAGAAAAGAAAAGAAAAGAAAAGAAAAGAAAAGAAAAGAAAAGGAAAGAAAAGTTATTTTTCAGCATGGTGCAGTAAATTAGACACACATAACTCCTGTGGTCACAGCCTGCTTCATATCTAATTTTCCAAACACTGTCAAAAATTGCTTCAAACATTCTCCTTTTTATTTTGACTGTATTCATCTAATAAATAAATGATTTTGGAGAAGCTACATTCCTCCACAGACTATGAAGTTATTCAAGCAGATTCCTTTCTGCAGTGTACAGGTAGAACTGAAAGAAAAGCAATAACAAGAAAAGTATTTATAAAAATATATTTCACAAAGTAGGAAACAATACAGGAGTTTCTCTGAATACAATACATGGAGTAAATAAACAAACAGTAATATAGCATCAAAACAAAGTAGAAAATTAAAATGATTTGCATGTAATACATAGTTTTATTATACAATTGCTACTTCTAAATGGCAAGTTTGCATTACAAATTGAGTATGCTTGCAACTTCTAGTGCTGTTCTTTCTCTGTGTGCAAGAGCCCTGGTGCATCACTATGAATATTATAGAAAAGAAATGCTAATAACATAAGCAGTAAAATTATGTACACACTGGTTCCTGCTCTAATACAGTGGAGAACTATAAGCATGTTTTTTTTTTACTGTACTGTGTTATGTGTGGATTTCTAAAAGTCTATAGTTTAAATATTCACATGAACCAGTTTACTTCCAGCTGTTTGTGCTTGTATTAAAAACACCAGGTATTAGATTTATGAAGAAGATACAAAACTGTCAAAAGTTTTTTTTCTGGGAAAGTTTTATTTCCTGCCATCAATCTCTTAAAATTCTGCTACTGCAAATGGAGAGGTTACTGCTTTAACCTACAGCAATTTGTCATTTTTCTTCCCAAAATGTACATGTATTAAACATTCACTATATATAGAAAAAAATCTAAATGATACAATTTAGTTTTCTTTATAATCTTATTCTATAGATTATCAATCTTCATAAATAAAAGCAGTAATGGACACCGATAAAATATTTATTTCAAAGATTAAACAAATAAATCCGATCTTTAGCAATAAAATCAGTAATTCTTTCATATATGTAAGTCCATCCCCTTTCACAGTTTTTCTTTCCTTTCAGAAGTACAGGATTGATCCTTCTTCTAGAAAAAAGCTCCTTTCGTAAAGCAAGGTTTTGGACCCCTGCATCTGAATCTTTGCACGTGAGTAGGATTTATTACCCATAACTGGAATGGATTAAGAACATGTGAATATTTTAAGGCTTGACACAATATTTAAAGATGATATTCAGTCTGTGGTTATGTGGCCAACAATTACTGTATGTACAATGCATGGTCACTGCACAGTAGAAGCCAGTAAGGATTTCCAATGCTATTTCTATTCAGCATTGCTAAGAAGACCAAGATATTGCTTTTAACATTTCTGAGTCAGGATCTTTGTTGGCAATGCAGAAACAAACCATTAGCTTTACACATACTGGCAGGAGCTACTGTTCAACAGTAAAATCCCTGCAAGTCCATTTCCTAAGAAAGCACCAATTCATTCTTTTCAATTCACTGAAGATAATCAAAGATCTAAATCTCCATCTTCAGAGTGGTCAAGTGAATATCAAATATCCAAAGACTTCTAGACACTCCACATACTTTACTTCACACTCCACAAGACTTAACCTCCTAACATATACTTTTTTATTTGGTTCAACATTACAATGTAGTTGATTTTATAGATGACTGGTGCTAAACTTGCCTCTAAAACAAAAAGCCACATTAGTTTTAACTAACAGCAGTGGCCCTAGAATATTACATGATCGTTAAGTCAACAGTGAAAAAGTTTGTAATCCACTGTCAAGTTTCTTTGTCACTTTCTCCAACTGAGTAAAGTTCTCCAAGTCTTTTAAAGCGAGGACCCCATTCACTGAGGTAGTCAAAATTCTGATCTGAGTCTGATGCAGAGGACTCCAATGAACTAAGGGAACCAGCAGCTGAACCTCTTCCTTCATAGCCATAAATCTGGATAGAGTCATATGGTGGAGCTGTGGGATCATTATCAGCTTCATGAAGCCTTACATTAATAAATTCATCAACATCAACACCATTAGGAACAGGCGCAAGACCCTGCCTGGGCATAAATTGAAGATCAGGTTTAATATCCTTACGAGGCAAAAATCCATTAATTCCATCTGGATTTTGCAACGTTGCAATGTCAAAAGCTTCTGTATCTTCTTCTCCACCTCCTTCATCATCATAGCGAATAATATTTTCTCTCACATCTTCATCATCTTTGATGATTAAAGGCTCATTCTTATGTCTTCTTAGTGTTACAAACAGCACTACAATGACTGCAAAAAAACATCACAAGCCAATTAAGTAAAAAAAATTCATAAAATTCCAAAAAATAGTTAGGGATGATAATAGGTTGCTTTTTGTGAAAATAAAGGTAATAAGGGTAGAAAAAAGAAGAAAGACCACTTCACTGAAGTGATGAAAATTTGATCAGAACCTCTGGGTCGTCCTGTTTTTTATTATCAGTTCAAATTTACATTTGATACTCAATTTTTTACAAGCAACAAGATAATGCATATTTCCACTTTCGAATCTCAAATTTAAGCAACTTTTCCCTTTTTCCATTTGAAAAAAGATACAATTTAGGTAACGTCAAACTAACATCATTCAATGAACTTCAGTCTATAGTTGTCCGCACTTAGGATGAAGTTTTCAAGAATTTGAGGGTGCTTTTCTGAAAACAGAGCCTTAATGACAGAAGGAAATTGGTGTTTCTGATATAATTGAAAAGAAAATAAAACAGCAAGAGAGAAAGAAAGATCTCACATCAGTTCCAGAATCATGGACAGATGCATAAGCTCTGAATTGGTTATACTTGCTGTTTTGTAGTTTAATGTTAAAATTTCAGTTGCTAAAGTATATCTCCATTATAAACTGAAGCTGCTAAGTACAGAAACTGTCTTTCACTGTTCTATCAGACATGTTTTATTTAATTAAAATACACAGTGCTTCTTATCTTTTACAACTGTAATATCTCTTATGCCATTACAATCCAGAGTAAACTCATACAGGTCTAACAGGTACAACAAAACTGTTTTCCATTTGGTGCAGTTTACACTCTGTTCACCCTTTTACTTATGTGAATTGGCTTTTGGTCTCGTAATTTTTTATGTATTTTATATGTAACACTCTTTCAATCTGGGATTTTTTTGGTATGCCTTTCTTCAGTTCTTAGTACAGAAGAGACACAGTTCTGAAATGTCCTTCAGTACTGCTGCAGATTCCATTAGATTCTATGTCCTTATACGTGACTTCTCTGCTTACAGCTGCCTATGAATCAGAAAAATTTTGAACATCCGGTGTGAAAAGAATACTTACCTAATAGCAAAATGATGCATGCTAATATTGCAATTAGGGCTCCCATGCTGAGTCCAATAGGAAGTACATATGCTTCAACATTACAGGACTGGACAATACCATCACTGCTGCAACCACAGACTCTAATAGTAAGAGTGCTAGTACTGCTCATGGGAGGATTTCCACTATCGCTTATTATGATTGGCAGTAGGTACACTTCTTGTTTCTGCCGACTGAATCCATTGTGCTTTGCCAAAATGCTGAGAGTGTTATCTGAAAGAGGGAAAATTTGCATTGTTTCACTGCATAGCATAACTGCTAAAGCCACTGCTTTTTTGTAACACATTCATCAAAACCTCTACGCAAACAAATGCATTACACAATACTCATCAAATCATCAGCATGTGATAGAGTAGCCATTCCCCTCCCTGTCTGGCTTGCCATGCCCCAATTGAATAAGTGCAACATATGCATTGTTGTGTCAAGAGTAATGAACCTAATGGCAATCCCTCACTTTCCTCTCTGTGCACATCCTTATTGATGTTTTTTCATCATTATTAATCACTGATTTTTTAAGTTACGCAGTCATGTGTATGCTTGTTTTTACTTAGATGCACTTGTTTTCTTTTTTCTTAATGGTTTAATACCATTTTAGTAAGGTACTAAGTTGAACTTTTTACAAGATGCCAACAGAGCATCTTAAGTTCAGCCTTAAGACTCAGTCCATTTACTTGCAAATGCAGACATTTGCTTTTTCTGTGTGTCAAGCTGAACATTTGATGTGTTAACTATACATGTACTTTTGCCCTCTTTCTCTTACACAGTTAAATTTCTTATAATCACACCGATCTCAGTGTCATTCAAACATGGTATCTCTGATACTTTAAATGCTACTTTAAATACTAAAAATTGTAATTGATTGTTCCAATAAATTATCCCAATAAATTTGATTTTGCTTAGAGAAATCATATAGGTTATATCATATATAGAATCACCAAGGTTGGAAAAGACCTATATATACATACATACATATATATATATATATAGTTGTAAAAATACCCCTGGGTGTGCACCTGAGATCTTCTAGTGCCTTTAGGTAATTAGAGATTCTAGCAATTTAACAACATACTCCTTTCAAATAGCAATGGTCATGTATGTGTCAACATGCTCAGTTACAAACTACAATCAATGAGCATGTCAAACATGCAAGCCACTGACTTGTTTATTTATTTGCTCACTTGGAAACATGAAGTAGTTTAGAGATGTTTAATTTGCACTGATTATGATCACCACAAACATTTCTGACAGCCCATGGTATTTGTGCAGCATATATCACTCCCACAACATAAAAGACACAAGTATGTTCCAAAGAGCTGGCTGTTCATGAAGTACAAAAGAAAGATGCAGAGAAAGAAGGGGAAAACATTCAGAAAAAATAATACTGTATAGACGTTTTTAACACTACAGCCTCTCTCCCCCTCCAACAACAACAACAAAAATTATATGCAATATCTTGATGTCTTTTGGATACATACTAGTAAGGAAAATAACAGCAGTTACAGAATATGATTACTAAATATTATCACGGTTTGGACCTGTATCAAGTTGAACCTGTATCAGTGGACAACTATTAATTTATTACTGACATAAAACCAAAGATGAAGGAAAACTTTATGATAGTTAAGAATATGGGGGAGCTGATTCTCATAAAGGAACACAGGAGGCTTGCTTTCTCATTCAGTGACCATGAAACTGAACTTTAAACAGTCTTCATCTGAAGTTCAGGGTCTTTGGTTTTGTAGTCTTTCTGTCTCCCTTCCTTGGTGGAAGAACTTACCAATCACATTCATACAACCTAGAGAAGTTCTTCCTACAACTTACATCACAAGTTATATATTGGTATCAGAGATCTTCATAGCATTTAGAATGCATAACAAGTGAAGATCTACCTACAAATTAAGTACTTTGTAAAGAGGTATTCATGTGAAGACTTCAGAATTCCTTTGCAGAACAAAAAGAATTCTGTAGACTTTTCTTTTCAGGAATCCAGAGTTTTTATCTATTCGAGTTAGAAGCAGTCACATCACAACTGATAGCACCCTGGGGCTAAATAAATAGACCAGTCCTCTCTTGTGCTCTTTTTAAAATTAAAGGAAGCATATGTTTCTACTACAGATAAATTTCAGAGAATGAGCTCTTAAGGATTCTGACAACTCAAGCAGGATGCAACTCCTTGATGATAGCCCATTATTTTATCTGCTTCTATGATGAAGTAGAAAAGACAAGTACGTTTCAAGTCAAAAAACTAGCACACCTTTCAAATTAAGAAAAACCTGCACTCCTTCTTGCTGGCTGAATGTATTGATGATTTAATGCATGCATGTGAAAGACATACTAGTCTCAGTGCTATCTAACTGACAAAGAACATCACATTACATTACATTAGCCAGAAAAAAAAAAAAAAAAAAAAAAAAGTTATGTTTTCCTGAATATCAGTATATAGCTTTACCAAAATATGTGACTAATGTGCACTTCTTATGGGATAGCATTCTTTTCCTCCTCAGCACTCACACATCATTTTCAAACATTGAAAAATTTGCCTGTCCACTTGACTGTCTCCTGAAAAATTAAAAATATCTCAGCATGAGTTGCAACCTTAATCCTTTCACTTTAACCTTTTAAGAGAGAAAATGGTGTGAGGCTCAGTTTACAGCTCTCTGTGAGAAGTCCCACTCAGAATACTGTCACATCTGTAGTCATTTATTCAGAACTCCAAAGACTTCTACAGTTATATTACACAGAGATTTTATGTACTGGAAATCCACACCAATATAGCTTCTTCCTTCCTATAAGCCTGGTACAGTTCTTATCTGTCCAAGACAGAAGAATGGATTGATATGCTGAACACTCGCATCTTTGCCCTTTACAGACATGTGGAAGAGGTATGGCACCTCATTTAGGGAGAAGTGACAAAAACCCTGCTCTTGTTGATGACAACTTTACTTTCTGAATCACTCACTGCTATTCAGCTTGGTTCAGAAAAATCTAGTAAGCCAGAAGAAGAGAGTAAAAAGAAAAAAGCAAAAAGGAAGATTATTGTAAGTGACAAAAACAAGAGGACTGAAGTGGGATAGGGAAAACAAAGTGCCTATTTCTGCCAACCAGTGAAGCTATGCTGTGTATTACGAACTACCAAGCACCTGTAATGGTTATCAATTCTGGTTCAGAAGAAATGAGATAAGGAAGTTATTTGGGACATCTATCCCCATTATTTAAGTGTAAAAGATGTTATAATGGCTGAATAGTTAACATCATATAATAAGGTATCAAGAGAATAGAAGAGAAGAAAAAAACTACTGTGTTAGACAATTTGTTTTCCCAAGAGAGGAAATAAGCAATAGCAGTAAGAAGGAGCCAACAGGAAAAGAAAAAAAAAACACAAAAAACAACCAACCAAACAAGCAAAAAAGCAAAACTAACCAAATAACTTTGTCAATGATTTTGTTTAGCAACAAATGTTTTCCCCTTCTTTGCTGTCTTCTAAGACTAAATATCCTTTGATGCTGCTGGAAATAGGACTCTTGAGTGAAGAACAATGACTCTCCAATTGACTTTTTAGTTGATTCTCAGAACCTGCAAATAAATTCTAGCAGCTGATTTGCAATAAACTCAATTTATCTGATTTGCTTTCTATTCTCTGTGGACATTCTCTTTACCCATAGCTGAGAAAACAGCAGGAATCTCCTCCAGGAATAACCTCCAGCACTGCTGCATGAATTAACTTGGCAGCAGGTTCTCAGCAGGAGAGGGGACGATCACTTTCCACTCATCTTTCCAATTAACCTGCTGATCCTTCATTGTAGTGCTGTTCAGGTTACTTATTTATTCACGTTACTTTTAACAAAGCGGGGAAAATCACACATAGACAAAAAACCTCAACCCTCTCTATTAACAAAGCTCTGAGGCAACCTGCCACTGGTAGAGAGAGACATTAAGTCCTTACTGACAGGCAGGCATATTCAGAAAGTTCTTTGACATTCTCAGTATCAAAGTAAGCCTCCCTAAATGCTCTACTCTTCTATAAGTGAAAGGACTGAAGAACTTGATTGAAACGCCACAGTCCTTTTAAATTCCATTTCACTGATCGTGTACCAAATCTACAGAATGGACTAGTATCTGTATTCCATCTCTCGAGCTTAAAGGATAGTAAGTTAAGTGATCTTAATAATTTTCTTAACTCATCACAATTTTTTCCATCAGCATGAGGTCACATAAAACACATCTCCAAAAATACATAACTAGAACTTTGACCTGCAGCTCATTTTTACCATGTTCTTTAAACTTAAAATCAAATCAGTCATTTAGATAACTCTCAGTTTCCAAAATCTACAGTTAATACAAAAGAGCTGACTAGGACACCACGATATCTGTGGATCATGCTGTAAGCTACTTCTCTCAGAGGATGATGTTGGTATACTAGTAATGCATTCAGCGAATTTCACACTGTTTCCTTTATTTTATGCAGACTAATGTCTGAAATTATTTGTTGTGTTTTGAAGTGTTTTGCTGATTTCTGAATGGCTGAATTATTTTCCATTCTATTAAACAAAGAAACATTTAGGAGGTAGAATTATTTTTTTATCAAGGAATACTTCAACCAAAAATGAAGGAAGTAAAAAACTTATGAGCAATTAGAGGGTGAAACTGTCAGGCACTGTTATTTATTCCAGTTCTATAATAAATTAACTAACTGCATACAGTAACAATCCGTACCTTACAGTTTTCCCCAAATCTTGGTTTAAAATCAAGATCAATGAATACATTTCAGTTTTCTCTGGAGTCTGCTTCTACTAGATCTGCCTACAAGCAGATTTGTGAAACAACCATTAAATAGACTGCTGTGGGAATATCTCTGTCACAGCTGAAACAAAGCGTGACAGTATGGTAGCTCTTCAGAAGATGCCCAGTGTGATTTCTAGATAAAAGTGGTTTCAATAAGCATAACTGAGGCCATGCTTAAAACAGGGCCATGTGCTTAATGCAGATTTCCAACTGTTCTCAAGAATCCCCAATCTCTTTTGAGAATTTTGGATAAAATATTTTGAAAGTAAATGTAATATCTTTAATACAAAGCAACTTCTGTATTTTTCAGACATGGGTGACTAATGGCATTGACACCAAGCTTGATGTGAAATTAAGAGTCAGGAGTCAACTTTTTCATCTCCCACTTTGCACTAGACACATATGTTGCAAGTTTAAGTCAGATAATAAAG